GGGTTACGGTAGCACTCGTTTGCCGGCTGTGTTTTCGAAAATTCTCCTTGAAATACGGTGGCCTAATTTGTGTTAAAATTCGGCCACAACTCCAATTTTTTTGCACAAGAATAATATCTTTAAATTCAATCAGCAAGTTACAAATTTCAGATCGCAAATCTATCTGCTAATCATCGAGCTAACGATATTCTTGTCACAGCTGGAATGGATCTTACTGTCACTGCTAAGTTCTGTTATGGTCCAATGGATTTAGTAGCGTTATCCAGAGAAGCTGTATCAGTATTCGTGTGTCCACAGAGAGGAGATTGGTATCTCCACGGTGTGTTCGATACCGATTCTCATGGAAGACTCACAATCCAACTAGCGAAAACTCTTCCATGTGGAATCCACTCTGTCAAAATCGTTGTTCATGGAGATAGATCCTACCTAGACGCATTCGTTGCCATAGTTCCACATGGAACCAAATGCGCCGTATTCTCAGTTGATGGTTCTCTAACTGCTTCTGTCTCAGTCACTGGAAAAGATCCCCGTGTCCGACCTGGTGCAGTGGATGTAGTTAGATACTGGCAGGAACAAGGATATCTGATCATTTATCTGACTGCTCGACCTGATATGCAACAACGTGTTGTCTCGGCATGGCTAGCTCAACACAACTTCCCCCATGCTCTTCTTTTTTTCAACAATTCCTTCTCAACAGAACCATTGAAACAAAAGTCCCTTCATCTCCGTCATATCGTCGATATGGGTGTTCATATTCACGTGGCATACGGTAGCAGTAAAGATGTATCTGTTTACACTTCAGCTGGTGTGGACCCAGAACACGTCATCTCTGTAGCTGGATCTAGAAGGCGTAATGTGTTCAGATTGGTAGGTTGAAAAAATTCAGAAGAACAAATCAAAAAGGAATTACTTTCAGAAAGTTATTCATCTCATTTATCTGCTTTAAACTCAGGACAATGTGCACTAGGTCAACGGATTGAAGACGATGGGCTGACGCTTTCCTTACACAGGTGAGTATTTTTTGAATTTGCCCTGTTCTCTGAGACGATATTTTTCAGAAACGTTCAACGGACGCCTTCATTTACTCCACGTGGCGGGAAGTTTGAAAACGAAAAAGACCGTCGGTAGCATCGTCTTCATTCACATAGTTTAATTTAAATCTCTCTCTTTCTCTCTTTTTTCTCTTTTCCACTTTCGAAATACGGATAAACCCCTTTTAAACCTTTCCTCCTCACATCCCCCACTCACATTCCAAAACAATAATTGTGGCTGATTTAATAATTCCGAAATTGGCTTTCTCTCTCAGGTGTCACTTTTTCGTTTTATTCCGATTTTTCGTTTCCCAGTGTTTTTGAATATTCTAGTTTTCAAAAATTGTCTCATTTGCTCATCTGGTTCATACATTTTTTTTTTGTGTACAACGAATCCAAAAATTGTTCTTTTTTTATCCATACAACGACTCGAGCTTATAATGAATTGATTTTATTTTTTACTTAGTTTTTTCGTTGGGGTTGAATATTTAAAAAAAGAGGAAAAGAGAATTCTGATGCTGCAAAGGGGCAAAATTGTATGGATACACCGTTGAAAAAGACATCAAAAGCCGACTATACCACGAACTATATCGGTTTGGAAAAAATGGGAAAAAAATGGGAGAAATTAGAAAAGAAGCTCAGTTACAGATGGAAAAACTAGACGGAGTGTGGGAGGAAAAAAGAGACTATGACCAGAATTGAATGGAGAGGATTTCGGGGGCAACAATTTTGATTTTTTGATTAGAGTTTTTTAATTTTTGGTTTTGAAGTTTTTGTTAAATACATTTTTACAGGATGGGTTTAACAGGAACAGGAAGAAAACGGCGAAAAATTGGGAGAAGATCACAGAGTTGGCGGAAAGAAAAGAGACAAAGCAGGGTCGAATAAGAATGGGAAAATGGAAGAAAACTGACAAGAATACAAGGAAGTTTCGGAATGAAAAATGAACACTTGTCGTCGGCTGATATCCCGTTTTGAGGAGAGAGAAAAAGAACAAAGAAATTGGAAAGAAATGAAAATGAAACTTTGGGAAAAAAAGAGAGGTAGAAGGAAAGGATCAGTTGAAGTTTCAGAAAGAGCAACTATGAGAGCACACATCGACAGCAACCCGCTGATTTCCGTTTTGTCAGTGTTTCTGAAAATTTGAAATTTTTTGAAAATACTTTGATTTAAAAAATTATGAACCGGATCTCTTATATCGGATTCACTTCAAAACCAGTCATTTCGAAACCGGTCAATTTGCAACCGCGGTAATACGGGAGAATATATAAGTGTCAGACTACAGAAACATTTTCTATGCTCTTTTGAATGGAATAGATCCTGAAACTCGAAAAATTCAAGAAATTTTTTTTGAAACAAAAAATTAATTTTTGGATTTTTGCTAATTTCAAAATGTTCTATCAGAAAACGCTTATTTGAAACCCCTAAAGTTGTTTTTTTGTTCTGTCAGTATTAACAAGGTTGCTAAAAAACCGGTTTCGAAATTACTGGCTTCGAAGTGACGCAGTTTCGGGATTTCACGGTTCTTTTTTTATTTTTAAGCTATGTTTTCAGCTTCCCAGAACTTCTGTGTGTCCCATGAGATAATTTTTTCTACACGTTGAATACACTTCATGTTTATATTCTCCATCTCTGCTTTCTTCTCTTAAAGTACTACGGACCATTAGAAATATGAGTAGGAAACCATTCCCCTATGGGACTAACCACTTCCTAACTCCATCTGTCATTTTTCATTTATTCATTCAAATTAGGTCAATTTCATGTTCTCGTTTCCTTATGTTCCCCTCTTAAAACACCTGTCAATGAAAGAGTAAAAAGTAAAACTAACCACTTGAATTAGGTTCCGGCAGATTTTCCCTAGTCACCAAATGCATTACTGTCGTTTTGCCGGGCATTAACTGAAGTGCATGTAATGTGACGGAGCCGTGAAGAAACCGCCCGTGATAGATGAGTTTCAACATTTGTGCACTTTGTACTTTATCCTCGTACCACTCTGAAAATTTTAAAAATTACTTTCTTCAAATGCACAAAAGGTGAACCTCCGTAAAACCTGTAATTGAGAGGCCATCGGACTATTAACTTTGAGCACATTTATCTCGCTCCCTGTAACAGTTATCAAAACATGGCCAACTAACAAAATATTTTTAATATTATAATAAACATTTTATTAGTATACTACTTTTTGATATCTTTCACAGGAACCGAGATAAGTTGGCTCTAAGTGCAAGATGATTGTTTTCATGAATTCCAAAAGACATCTAAATCCTATTTAAAAAGGTGTTTCCTGAGTTTTGAGAATAAAACACAAACAAGTACCGGTTCGTTGTCTTCTTACAATTCTCGTTTCGCACATATTTGCGGACATACAAACACATGACCCTTTGGCCCCCCGAGGCAACAAGAAGGGATCGGTCTCGTTATTCGGCCGTGTTCCTCTCCTTTCACCCCAAACCCATAAGCCCATTTGTAGTCTTTCGGCAAACAATTGTCTCTTTTCTCTCTGAGAAGAAAAAGAAGACGATAGAAATAATGAACCAAAACGCCCGGAATGGATTAACACAAGTTTTGAAAACGCGCATTTTCGCCTTCCATTGTTCAATGAGGGTCACTTACCGTCTGGCCATTGATCGAATACCATTTGTGTTACGTCGTGAGCTGATGTCAGTGGTGAGAATTCGAATTCATGAGTCTTACCGCTGACAAGAATCAGACGAAGCACAACCTGAAATAATTTATACATTTATTTCTTGCTTGCCGAATGTCACATGTCTGTCAACCTGTGCACCAGGTTCATTTTGTGGGTTCAGCAAGAGCAATTAAACGAGCAAGACACAAAAAAATGGGTATTTATTATCAAACTATAGGATGTGGGGAACATTTCTGACCAACCAGGAAGAGAAAAAAACGTTTGAAGGATCTCAAGTAACTCTAAACCACATAACGCATGACCAGCAATAGAATCCTAGGTATTCCTAGGTATTCCTAACTTTATTCCAGTTGCTCTATTCATTATTCATGAATTCAGTGGAGCGCACGCATGCCGCCCATATTTATTCCTTTCAAGCTGAATGTTGTTTTTTGTCTCTGGTTTCTTTTTCTTTTTCCATTCGTACAGCAAAATAACAACCAACACAAATAAATATATCGGGCAATAATACATTTGTTGTGTTCGTCAACAAAATAGAACAACATTTCAATCCATATTGAATTTTTCAAAAAAAAAAAACACTTACCGGCTCTGCTTGTGAATCAATCGACTGTTTTGCACTCATTTCTAGTGCTTCTTCTGAATTTGGATGCCGACGTCTTCAGAATCTTCTCTCGAGTCGGTTTTGATTCCCCACGCCGTCACCCTGGAGAAACAAAATCGATTGAAACGGAAAGGTGGAAGAGTGCGGGAGAAGGACGAAGAAGAAGAAGGAAGAAGAGGAAGAAGAACAGGGGCTAATTATATTCGAAGAATTCTGGAGAATCGGAAGAAGAACGAATACAAAAGTATATTTGATTTTCAAAGTTTCATCATGTTATTACGGACACCATTTGAGGGGGAAAGAAGAAGAAGAAGAAGAAGAAGAAGAAGAAGAAGAAGAAGAAGAAGAAGAAGAAGAAGAAGAAGAAGAAGAAGAAGAAGAAGAAGAAAAGACCGACAGTTGAAAAAAAACAAAAAATAATGGAAGAGATAAAAGAAGAGGAAAGGCGCAAATTTATGAACGATGGAAGTAATGAGACGAATACTGATGTGGTGGGGATGAGATGAGGTGAATTCTAGAAGGAGAAGATGATGATGACGTGGCAAAAACTGAGAAAGATAAGAAGCACGTGTGGCTCACTCACACTGACTAGTGAGGGGTGGAGAAATGGAAGAGGAATGGGCTCTCATTTCGGAGACTGAGTAAATATTGCTAAGCGACACGAGAATCGAAAGAAGAGAAAGAAGTAAGAAACCAAGAAAACAAGGGGTATAAGAGGAAATATGTAACTGATTTCTGAGTAAACTGATTACTCACTGATTATGTTTGAGTTTTGTAGGAGGAGCTCCAGGGAAAACAAGGAGAGGGGAAAGTATTTTTTGAGATACGGTATTATAAAAGTAACAAAATGTGATATTCTATGTTCAAACATTCCTGAAATCCAGTTACTGTGAAATCTGTATCAGAAGAGCTTCTCTAACAGAAAGACCCTCGCGAGAGGCTCCACATTTTTACAGAAATTTCTTGAAACACATTTTTTGCTCAAAAACTAGCTTTTTTTGGTGAAATTGATAGGCTTTCATGTGTTTTGAACGAGGCTTCACCGAACTTTTTAATGAAAACTTTGGAAAATGATCTGAAAAATAGAAGGGCCCTTGTAACAGTGGAGCCTGCTTTTCTAATACAAGTTTTACAGAACTCAAATTTTCATTTGGGATGCGATTCAACTTTTAAAAATTATGTTAAAAAATAAATTCTAAATTGAAATTCTAAAAAACAAATTCTAAATTGAAAAATGAAATGATGAGATTCTTATAGATGTGATAAAAATCTTTTTCGAGGTACAATTATAATTTTTAGGTGCAATTAATACGTCAACAGTTATTCTTAGAACGACTCTATACTGATTCTTTTGACGTAAAAAATGTTAGCTGCCAAAAAAGTACAATTCGAAAGAATGTACCATTATGATTCAAGCTACTGCGACACAGAAACATATGTGCTTTTTTGTCAAAATATAATACTTTGTATTCTTTTTTTTGTTGGTTAGAACAGAAGATGTGACTCACTTTGAAACGAGGAAACGGTTTGATAGTATAGATCTCGTGTTTTATCAGATTATTCTTTAAAAGATTCAAATTTAAAACTTTTGGGAGAATAAAAAAAGGGAAAATAAAGATAGAGAAGAAGAACAATCAGGGAACAGTAGTAAAAACCAGAGAAAAACCAAAATTCGGGTACATTTCTAAATGTTTGTCCTCCTCCAAAATCTTCCTTTTTTTAGAGGAAGTAATAATGTAGAAGAAAAACTCTCGCTCTTTTTGCTTACTTGAAAAACAGAATTCGGGGAAAAACGAGGTGAGTGGGAGGAGTCTGTGCTGCCCGTAAAGGAAATTTACTCTCCAACGGACATAGACCAACAAGAACGTGTGGAACTTAAAGTCTACTGATGACTCAGGTTACTTGGCCGACGAAATTCTAGATGTTTTAGTTTTAGATGATGTTGATGACGTGGCAGAGGAGGCAAAAAACGGAGGATGAATGAAAGAAGAAGAAGAAAAAGAAGCTATATTCATAGGCAAAAGCTGCTAGAAGAGAGCGGATAGCAAACTCAAAAAAATAACATGTTGACGAATTTTTTTGAATCATTTGGCGGCGGTGTTCTGGTCGTTTCATATTTTTCTTCTATTTCATATATCTCCCTATGTTTTGATTTTTGAAAAAAACAACGAAATTGGAATTGGAAACAACATTGACTGAAAATTGGATGACCTCAAAAAGTGAAAATGAGAGGATCTATGTGTGATGGAAAATGGAAAGGGGCAGTGTGGACACAGAAAAAAACGGGTTGGCGCCCCCCGGAGAAGGCGAGATGCGGGACGAATAATTTGGTTTTGACAACGACGGAAACGACGAAGGAGAAGAAAAAGAAGAAGACGTAGACGGACAAAAAGGAGAAAAAGTTTTAGAAGTAAAAGAAGAAGACGTGCTACTGCTTCAACTACACGCGTTCTTTGTCGAAATCTGGCGCTCTCTAACAAAAAAAAGAGAGAGAGAGAGAGAGAGAGAGAGAGAGAGAGAGAGAGAGAGGGAGAGAGAGGGGGAGAGAGGAAACACACTTCAAACACTTCAGGTATTTAGAAGTGGCCGGTGGCACACAGGTGTGTGTTTGAGAGGGTGATTGAGGAGGATGAATGGATGTTTATGAATGAAAAAAACGAAGTGATCAATGCATCGAGATCAATGCGAGGATACTGGCTGGAGATAGTTTTCAAAGTGGATCTGTGTGATTTTGGAGCACTGGCACTTTTCAACCTCATCTCTGACAACCTCATTTTTGTATCTTTGACATGAACAAAGAAGAAATGCGTTGAAGGTGAAAGTTAGGAGCCCTCCTATTCCAGGTTTTACGGTAAGACGACCAAATCCAACTCTTTAATCAGATTTCTGGAAGTCGAATCTCTAAACGAGCAAGTTTTGGACCACCTCAATCTGTTATCGCTCCATCCAACAGAACCCACCAGCTTGATCCCAAGAGAGTAATAAAACTATTAATAGTCAACCGACTACACCCCGAACGATGTCGTCGTGATTAGTGTCTGGAGAGCTATGATGTCAAAACGAACCCCCACGGAATCAAGAAAGAAGCACGCAACCCGAAGAATGTTCTGGAGATGTGGACGTCGAAAAGAAGACGTTGTTGCTCGGATAAAAGCGAACAAATAAAAGTGATAAAAGGAGGAATAGAAAGGAAATGAGACCGGTGTTATCAGGTGATTATCACACAATAAACCCAATCGTTCAAGATGCTGGGAACGGAGAAATTTGATAAGAGACGACAAAGGGAACTATTACTCAAATAATGGATAGAATAGGGGGGGGGGGGGGAGAAGGAAGTCTTGAAAGAGTCTGACATACTCAATTGCATGGGGGAAAACCGGAAAAATGCGTTCTGGAAACTAATAAGCTTCGGGAATTCTTTCGAGAACCACAAGGACAGAGACATTTTTAAGGGGATAACCAGAATGGAGATGTCTAGGGACCAAAGGCGCATAAACTTGAAAAGTTGTACTAAAAGTTCAAAAAAATTTGGAGAATTTGAAAGTTCGAAAAAACTAGAAATGAAGCATTAGTTGGAATGCGAATAATCAGAAATATACTGGCCCTTCTATTACAGGTTTTACGGTGAAAGCTTAATTGAAAATCAAACGCAATTATGCTTTCTGTCAATCCCTAATAGACAAATGTAATAATTCAGTTCGATTCGTCGTCACCGTGAATCCGAAATGAATTCAGAATAATGCTTCGCGTTCCTCTTCTCCTTCTCCCGCCTGTCACTGACTGTGCAATGAAGCGAGAGATGAATTGTGTTCGAATTGCCAGAGAAACCCTCTTCTTTTAGGTCAATCAGTAGATAGAGAACAGATAGGCGTGTAACAACGGCAGCAGAAATGAGAAGAAGGAGAGAGAACGAAAGTCTCATAACAATAACAACAGAAGAAGTAGAAGAAGAAGAAGGCTAAAGAGGGAAAAGGTCGCAAATTGAATCGGAAAAACACCATATTGAATATGCCTCTTATTTTCTGAGAAGAAAAATAAGGAACTTTTTGGTAGGAGAAAGGAAACAAATTTCGAATTCTCCACAAGTTTTTTTTCTTCTCAAAATGAGTCAGAGCAATCTGAAGGAATAATGAAATATTCATGAAAACGTAACTTTTTGGAAATGTGAGAGTTTCCGCTTTTTCGTTTCACCGAGAATTCTGTGACAACAGGTGAACATGAAGAAATGAAATTTAATATTTTCTTGGAAAGCATGAGAAAACAACTAATTGAATCTCGATATTTAGGTAGGACGGTGGATACAACAGCTGATTCAATTGTCGTTTTTGGGAGCACAATGAGTCATTTTTTGGAATAATTTAATTGTTTTATTTTTGAATTGTGTTACTTTGAAAACGAAACTTTAAAAAAAATAGACAATCAAATGTTTTTAACATGTATTTGAAGGGCCCATTAAATAAAAAGGTCCCTCTAATAGAACTCTCGTCCGAGAGCGGCTTGAAAAATAGAAGGAAATTCCCAGAAATTCGTTGAAACACTCTGTTTTGCTCGAAAACTTGCTCAAATTTGATGAAATCGATAGCTTTCCATGAATTTTGAACGAGAATTCACCGAATTTTTCAATGAAAAGTTTTGGACGAAATGACCAGAAAAATAGAAGGGTCCCTCTAACTGAAGGGCCCTCCGGAGGTACCTTTGACCAATAGAAGGCCCAGCTCTTCTAATACAGGTTCTACGGTTATCCTATCTCCCTATTTTCTTCCCAAAACCGAGTTAAAATGTTCAAAAAACTTTCCCAAAACGGAAAACGCGGAAAAACAGCAAAATTTTTTTGATGCCTTTTCAAGTTTTCGTACTTTTTTTAAAGTTTTCGTACTTTTTTGTCCATCTTCAACGTTGGGAACGGGCGCTTTCATCAATGACAATGCGATTTGCGGACAAGCCGACAAAGAAAAAAATATATGGACAAAAAATGTTCATACGAATAGAAAAAGTGCATTTTTAGGATAGAAATGTGAACA